AGGGATTTGAAATAACTGTTTCAGACTCTGCAGTGCATTTGGTTATTTCTTAACCTGGTACCCGATCCCCATTTATTTTTGTGTACGGACTTAGGGCTAAATGCACTTCGTGTAGAATAGTTACTGTTCAGTTGTACTAGGATGAAAACACTATCTAAAAGTCAATGTAAAAAAAAAAAAAACCTCAAAATGCACAATGCCCTGTATTGCACAGGGGCCATCATTCATCTAATTATTCACCCATGCATCCATGTGCCTTACATGGAAGGATTTCTAAGCACTTCTTTCTTTTTGTAAGAAACACTGAGTCATGTTAAATAATCTTGACAAGATGAAAATGACTATGTCAGCCTTCGTCCAATCAGAGGCAAGGCCTGGCTCCAGGGGCAACAGAGAACAGTTCATATGTCTTCATCGGTGGTTAAATCCTGTCACAGTTCAATGGCCATCAGCATTACTATACATAGATCTGATGTATGCTTTTATTTATATTTGTAAATATATATATATACATATATATAAATGTGTGTGTACTGTACTGTATGTATGCCCACAGACACACATACGTATATGTATATGTATATATGGGATTGTGATGTTCTCTCTGTTGCTGCTCATCATGTCATGCAGCAGAGAGCGCAGGAAAAAAAACAGCACAATGACACGCACACAGCAGAGGGAGTGGAGAGGACGAGAGTCGTGAGACAGTTCCACAGAGGGAGAAAGAAATACGCCTGAATCCATCTGCACCTTTCACTCTGTATATACTATTCACACACAGTCGGTAATTCAAATCAGAGGAGGACGTTTAAGTCATTTGAAATGTTATTTAACTGTAACGACTTATTATGAAATATATTCGTAAATATATTTATCTTGTAATCCCTTAAATACATTTTACAATGACATCGAAACTATAGCAAAAAAAAAAGGTCAAAATTAAATTAGATTAACATTAGCCAAAATGTCTCCAGAAGCCACGAAGAAAGTTATGTTTTCCATAAAGATTGATAGTCCAAGAGGTAACAAAAATAATCAAATGTCAAATGCCAAAACAATGGAACAAAATGGTTAAACAGTTATACATTCAGATCTGATTAATCATCATGATTAATTGAAATGAATCAATGTTCCTAAATATGACCCAAATAAAATTATCTATAATATATAATAATAGGTTAATTTATTTGTTTCAGTCTAATTCTTTTGTAACTAATCCAAATAATAGCATTAATAATATGAGAAAAAAAAATGTCAAGATGAAAATAATTGTGGAATAATGGATTTTATAATTGCTGTGCATTTGATGGTCATCCTCGACAATATTAACCACTGGTTTATTTCTTTGTATAATGTTTAAATGTGTAGCAACTCATTGTGACTTTCCATAAAATCATATAAACACCTGTAAAAACAGATGCCCATAGCGTTATAATTGTGACGTTGTGTACTTTTCTTTTCTCCTAGTTGGTTACACAATGAACGACCTGATCTTTGAGTGGCAGGAGAACGGTCCGGTCCAAGTAGCAGAGGGCCTCACACTCCCACAGTTCCTTTTGAAAGATGAGTCGGACCTCAGATACTGCACCAAGCACTACAACACAGGTACAAATACACCCGCAGTACTGCGAACATCACTACATAGGTAACAATCACACAGTGTGAAACTGCCGTCACATTTCATCAAACCTGCTTTGGTGCTCTGGGGAACAAGTCAAGAAGAATAGACCAGTTTGGAGTCGAAAGAAAATCCACACTGACAGCCACATCCTGAAGTCAAATTTATTTACAGTGCAGCATTTGCAACCTCGCCAAATTCTGTGATTCAGTTATGTGGGAATGCATGTCCTAAATCCTGTAGGATTTAATCATTTTGCACATAGTTTTAATTCTAGGTCCCAATCTTTAAATATTTAGAAGCACTCAGCTGTTTTTTTTAAGTTTCTTAATAACACATGACCTGCCCAGATAGCTATTTGAGTTTTGTTCATTATAAGAATGAATGCAGGTCCAGTTTCCTTTTTCTAGATTTGCAAGTGCAAGGGCAAGAAAATGTTGTGAAGACAGTAGTGAGACCTGCTATGATGTGGCAATGGCTCTGTCTAATAGACGCAAGGCTGAGCTGGAGATGAAGATGCTTAGATCTTCACGGGGAGAGACCAAGATGGACAGGTTTAGAAATGATCAGAGTGAAAGTGAAGTGACAGTGTCATTGACTTCTTGTCAGTGTGACACAGCACTGTCACGGCACACAACGAAATGTGACCTCTGCATTTTACCCATCACTTAAGTGAGCAGGGGGGCATTTCAAGTGCCCGGGGAGCAGTGTGTGGGGATGGTGCCATCTTCAGTGCACCCTGTGGTAATTTGGCAGCTGGTGGACTTGAACCGCTTCCTTAAAAACCAAGCCACCACTGCCCCTTGAGACATTTAAAGTGGAGACATTAGGAGATACGGTTAGAGGGGAGAGGTGGAGATGGTTTGGACATGTGTTGGGGAGAGACAGTGAGAATATTGGACAAAGGATTTTGGAGATGGAGTTGACAGAAAATAGGAGACGAGGAAGGCCTCAAAGGAGATTTGTAGATATGGTAAAGAAGGACATGGAAATAGTTGATGTAAAAAGAGAGGAGGCAGGAGATAAGGTGAGGTGAAGGCAGATGTTGTGCTGTGTTGACCCCTTAAAGAACAAAGAAATAGATCCTGAATGGACATTTACTGTGTGTGACCTCATATACAACAAAACAAGAACAAACATGTTTAGACCTGGTCTAAACTAAGGTTAATTATCTCATTGTTTTTCTGTTTTCTCTGCATGTATCTATCTATCTATCTATCTAGTCACTGGTATTTATCTGAATTTGTAATAGTCACGCTCAATGTGAGGTCTAAGATCCATTCATTTCAGGTTGCCTAAAAATGTCACAATTAGTACCTAAATAATCCAGCAGAGGGTGCACTAATAGCAGCATACAGTTTGGTATCACTGCTTGAACTAATGATTTAATCTAAAAAGAAAAGTGAAGCCAAAATAACCTTGGTAGCTCAGTTGGTTGAGCATCAGTCTTTTAATATGAGAGTCCAGGCCCAGAAAAAACATCTACTGTCGATAACAGACTCAGAAACCTCGTATAGTTTTGTCTGTGGAGATGACCATAAACAGTCTGTGCTCTGTTTGTAAACCTGTCGCCTTTTTATTGCTTACTCTTGGTGAAGATGCAAGGCTGCTAGTAAAACTTTTTCTTTTAATGAGACTTGACGTGTGGAGAGATGAAGAAATCTAGGTTCCCTCTTTTACTCTGTCTTGCAAAATAAAGGCTGTATGCCAGGATTTTATCGAGCCTTTACTGTAGTAGTGTGTATTCTGTAAGAAACGGTAAAAGGATTTAATCCTGAAAAAGGCTTATGGTTGTACTGTGGGTTTGTCTATATACAATGCTAGGACATACAAGTATCTTTGAAGATGGACATTATGTCTTTGTTGCAGGTAAATTTACTTGCATTGAGGTCCGATTCCACCTGGAACGCCAGATGGGCTACTACCTGATCCAGATGTACATCCCCTCTCTGCTCATTGTCATTTTGTCCTGGGTCTCCTTCTGGATCAACATGGATGCTGCTCCCGCCAGAGTGGCCCTAGGCATCACCACTGTACTAACCATGACCACACAGAGCTCAGGTTCCAGGACATCACTGCCCAAGGTTTGTGTTCCTTGGGTTTGATTATGTTGATTATATGTAAATATTTAATGGCTTAAGCTTTGACCAGATCATTTTATTCAAGTTATTTCCAGGGCAGATTTCTAAATCACGACTACGTCTTTAATTACAGACATGGTTTATTTCTAATTATTGGGATAATTCCTACATATTTCTTTTAGCCTATTTAAACTATTTTTCTGTTATCCTTGCAGACGTTCGGTTTAGCTGTACCTATTTGTACTTAAGGTTATTTAAAGGTCATTTTTGGGTTTATTTCTTTTAGTTATTCCCTGACTTATATTAATGTATTATCTAAACTAATCCTCTATCTGTGTGTTTCAGAAGAGACCTCCTTATTTGTGCCAAGTATAATGTATGCATGAGAACACCCTCCAACACAGTGGACTTTATTACATAACCCTAATTAGCAAAGCCATCTCTCTCACAGATACCGCACTCATACACACGCTCTGTGTGTCTGTGTGTGTGTGAGGTTAGGAGGATTCTCGTGTTTTCCACTGCCTAACAGAGCTTTGCACTCCACTGTGTAAAACATGTCTGAATAAGTGATTACTGTTCGTAAGAATGGGGTTACATCCTTTTGACACCGCCGAACTAAGTGGAATAGTGGTGCGTGACTGCAACAGTAGCGGCTGCAAGCTTGAAATGACAAACATGGCAGGGAGGATACGTACCCTGTCCTCATTTACAGCAGTGCCTCCGTTGTTCCTCTGTTGTAATTATAGTTGATGCAACAATCTGTAAATTCCTAAGCTAATCTTGTCAAATATAAAAGTTAACATCACAGATCATAGTGTAAGATGCAAATGATTCAAAACTGAGTCTTAAAAGAATCAAGGAGATTTAGTTTAGTGTTTTTCCAACATTGGGGTCGCAAACCCACGTGGGTTTGCCTGGAATTAAAATTGGGTCGCCTGAAATCGTCTAAAAAAAAACTATTGAAAAATGACTGATAAAAATATTTTTTCAACTAATTATTATTATTACAGTCTTAAACAACTGTATTCTTTTCACTTTCATGAATGTAAGTGGAGTTGAAATGAAATGCAGCAGATAAAGATATCTGAGCTGGCGCATCTCGATTGACCCCCGTGAACATGTGACTGAACAAGTGACAGCTACTAAAATGTCTCTGGGATCGCCAGAAATTTGTAACATCACGGGGTCACAAGCCAAAAGGGAACCGCTGTTTTCGTTGCTCTGATACTAATCAGCAAATTTGGTGGCTGCTAAAAAGCACAATTGAAGTATAAAATATCCGAGTTTTTTCCTTTTTATAGTGCCCTGGGAGCAAGACTGTTTTCCGGTACTTGCTGTACTATAAGGATCTCCCAGAATGTTTTTATAATAGTACTTAACCAAAAGGTTGTGTTTGTACTTTGACCAGTTTGTTTTCCTACTAGAATCATTGGGTTTCTTATAAACTGTACACAGGTTGAATGTGTCGCACACTAATCGAGTAGCTGCACGCATTTTTATTATGTTTGTGTGTGTGTGTGTGTTTGTTTGTTTGCAGGTCTCTTACGTCAAAGCCATTGACATCTGGATGGCAGTGTGTTTGCTCTTTGTCTTCTCCGCGCTGCTGGAGTATGCTGCCGTCAACTTTGTGTCAAGGCAACACAAGGAGCTGCTGAGATTTAGACGGCATCACAGAAACAAGAGCAAGGTACAGAAATGA